CGAGGCCTTTGGCAAGTTGCCACTTGGTAACTAGAGCATCGTCTGATCGTCGAGGTACCGGGTACATGGCCAACGGAACCAGATCAAAGTGCAAATTGGTATCTGCCGTGTTCTTTGGCCTCTTGGCATGGAAGAGAGCTTGATTCAAACGAGTGGTATGAGGATAACGTGATCATTTATCGTATTGTTTGTTGGGCTACCTAATGAAGGCTTGTTTAAATAGCCTTGAACGTCCCGATTATCGAAGAAAGAAGTGGCTAAAATCTGCTAATCTGTGAGAAACTGACCAGAGACTAAGAAGCAACACACGTAAAAGGAACGGGAGGGTCTGTAGAGGAAACCCCATCGGGTTTTCCATTTCAATTGGCCCCTGAATGCTTATAATTCAGAATCGGTTTCCCGGCAGCCCTCCCATGAGTAGCGACCATACAAATACACTAATCCTCTTTCTTGGAGTTTTCCTGCAGTAATAAAAGTCACTGTTGGCTATCATGGAAGAAACATGAGCGAGCAATCAAGTTCCTGTTTTATAGAGTCGAATAATTTGTCCACCCCTTGCGACATCTGCGGAGATGATGACAATATCTTGTCAATCGAACGAGTTGAAGTTTCATTAAACGATGTTCTTCCTGAGTCATGGTAAAGGCATCGCCACAAGGGTCTCGACTACCTAGACCATTTCGAGAAGCATCGACAACGTACCGCAGACATTCATCGAGACCGGGGCACGTTGCAAACATCCAAGAGAGGCAATTGATGATTGCAAGCTGATGCAGCCGTTCCCCAAAAACAGGTTGGAGATAATTCTGGCAAACTTGCCAGATGCAACTCGAAACTCTACCCGACTTAGACAAGTGACTTGAACAAGGTCCCCCAGTCCATCAGTGGGACTAATGACAGCTTTCAGGAGCCAGTCGCAATGCAAACCATCCGCATGATCCAATAACGGAGCAGCCGTTAAGTGCAACGTCCGGGCTTCCAGGCCCCCCGGAGACCGGATCTGCGAGGCCGTGGCCGAATATCGGACGAGAAATCGCAACTGCCGATGTCTACGGAAGCAAGCAGGCGGAACCGCCGTTCGCAAGAGTCATCACAAATTTGTCGTCAAACTGCGTACATGTTCGAGAACTGCTTATCAGGTCCGTCCCAACATTTTGTGGGGTTCCACGGATTCCGCGAACTTGAGGCCGGCCTGTAGTTCGCTCTCGCGTCAAAGAGACTCATTTTTCTTCTGGACGAATTTCCGCACAAATTTTGTCACTGAGCAATACTGGCATAGTATGCTCCCATATGAAAAAAGGGTAAAGATTACGACTAGCGTGTCGGCATTTCTTGGGCAACTGTCGAGCCCATGCAGGCCATTGCTGGTACTGTGGATCAACAGAGAGGAGGGGGAATGGCTCTCTGCCGATCATACTCATGGATACCAGGGGGACGATGTAGGCCGTGGGAATTGTACTACTGAATGGTCTAAGATCATACGTCGGTCTGGCTTAAAGGAGCCCTACTAACAAAGTATTCATTCAAATCTCGTGGGCTTTAATCCGGAGTACTACCCATGTATTGCTCATGAACTTCACGTATACCTCCTTGCTCTATTTGTTGCAGGAATGTTCTCTTGAAATCGTCGAAAAAGTGCAACGAAATCATATGAATATTGCACGCAATGGTCAGCGAGACAAAAATGCGAAACCGAGTTTCTGATCAATCTGGAATTCAGACCCCCGAGGTACTACCTCTAATCCGCAATATTATTGCTTGAACTCCTCCATATTTACTCATTTATAGATTCAAATGGAGGGAACCCTAGCTTGAGGGGTCTCAATCTAGCCAATGTACCCGCTGCCTACCTTACTTTATCTATGTTGGTTGACGTCGGGAGGGCATATCTATGCTGCATTGCTGGCTCCTGGTTTGCCTTCTCCTGAATTCCAATTGACTGCCAAGAATATCTTGAGATGGAGTAAACTGCACAAGAATAGACTGTCCGGAAGTAAAATGTCCTCGCTCGATCTTCATGGAATTGGTTTAGTGCAAAGACGGTTTATTTGCACCAGACACAATTAATTCCGGTATCTCGATGATTGGAAGTTAATTCGCCTGCTTGGTCGGAAGAGATGGATCAAACTCCGTTACTAATTTCGTTGGCAGAACTCAACAGCTTGTACTTTCTGTAAGTGAGCATGATGACGTAGCAATAGCACGTTAACCCAATCACTTCTAGTAGTAGACCAATGTTATTGGCACCAATGAGTTCCCAGCAAAATCGCCAGTATTACTGCATGTGATGCGACATGATTCAAAATTATCAGGACATAGATATCTCTAATTTCTTAAGCGACTTACGAGCTCGAGTGTGTCACTGTGATGCTACGGTGATACTGCCCTCGGACTCGAACCCATCCAGTCGGGGGAGTTGGATTCGAGCCCTATGTGAACACACTGACATTGACAGGGGATTTAGCCTACATAGTCCGTCAAGTCGTGGTACTGGGGAATCCAAGCGTCATTTCACGGGGGAGATCCCGGACCGGGGGAACCGGGCCAGCCCATTCATGGGCACACCACTTAGTAATAATACAATGAGACCAAAGGAATACTTGCCGAGTGGCTGTATCCACACTTTGCTGCCGATAACTTTGCCCAGGCGTCACCGGGGCCGAACATGTCGGCGGCCAAAAGCTGGGTGCCGAGAGTTGTGAGAGTTGGGTAGATCCAGTACGTACTGCTGAAACAGCAACCCCAAAATACTATACCGGCGCGATAATATTGACAAGGGCTCTACAATAGAGTTTATCACCACCAGATATATATCACGGCTGACGATTCCGCCGCTTTCGTCCGGTAGGCAAATCTTTTCAACTCGGAGCTATCAGCCTCTTTTCGACATTCATCCGTTGCGGCCATACTTGTGCGAATCATTCATCACCGTCAGTTTCGAGATTGTCCACTGGATGGCAACTTTTGCTGCAACAGACAACAAGACCCCAAGCACCATGGAGCAGCCATATCTGCAGTACGGTCATAGCCATATCAGCCATAATGAACTGAGCACCTACCCCGAAGCTGAGCCGCAAAGCATGGAGTGCTCATACACCATTGGGCCTTCTTCTACCTACACCGGAGAATGGTTTCAGCCCACGTTGCATCCAGATTCCGTCGCCTCCATCTATCAGCCTTTGCCGTATCTAGGCACGACCTCCGGCGCCATGTCACACTACGATCCCAACCATCTGGTCGAAGCCAGCAATACGCAGATTCTCGCGCACTCAACACCGCCGATGATGCAGCCAGCCGTGCCGTCACCCAACTGGGACATTCTGAGCTCCAGTGAGGGCTCTCAGAGCCCTGCTGAGGAACGCGAGGAGGAGGTCTGGGAGCCGGAAGACCTCCGCCGGATGGGTTATCTCGACGCCAGCGGCAACTGGCGTTGCAAGTTTGAGGGGTGTCGATCCTCACGCGTATTCTTGCGTGCGTGCGACCTAAGGAAACACTTTCGTGGACACGACAAGTACTTTTTCTGCACGGAGAAGCCTTGTGCGAATGCTGGTGTGGGATTTGCGACTCGAAAAGACTATCAACGGCATATGGGCTCCCACAGGCCGACGATCAAGTGTCCTCATCAAGATTGTGGGAGAATCTTTAGTCGGAAAGATAATATGGTACGTTACGCCCGCATTCGCTTTACGTTGCATATTCAGTTTACGAAAGTAAACCTTGTTTGGGAACTTGGGCTAACACTACTTCCAGAGAGAGCACTTTAAGAAGATTCACTTGCGGCTGCGAAATAATTTGTTTCCTCGACCTTGCCGCCGGCCTCGCCGTGGTGAACGCTCAAAGTCTCCAGTCCTGAAGGTCGAGACCGAGTAGCTTTGGAATTCGTTTAGGTGGCGTCAAGAATTATCATTGTATGAGACACATGAAACTTAATTACCAGCAGGCCGCATGGTGTTTGGAGAATAAGGGTATAGCTAGTTGCTTAGTCGGTTTCGTGGTCTATGTTGGGAACCGAGCACAGAGTTGCGGAAACAAATCATATGAATAGAAAGATCCAAAATAAAAGCGTTTGATTGACAGATTCATGCGACCATTGAGATTGTAGCGTACAGCCCTGCGTTGAAGGTCCTTGCGCCAAGGCGTCAGCCCTCGCCCCCCTTTCCGTCCCCTTCTATTCTGGTACTACCCAAGGTAAAGGAGGTCATCGCCTGATCTCGTAGACTCAACTTACAATCACGCCTCTTCAATGACCTCTCGTTGATTTCACGCCCGACAATTGCAAAGTACCAGAATCGTCAACGATGCGAGGCATAAGTTGCGTGCTCTGGGACTCGGACCCTCTGGGCCTGGAAGGCCTGGTCTGATGATTGGCGGCGAATTGTTTACCACGAAATGCCAGAATCGGAAATGTCGAAACATTAGGTAAGAGCTGATTAACTTTTCATCGATCGCAATTCCGTCCGAAGTCAATATCTGGTTCGTATCAAATGCCCACCCTTCTTTTGGTTCCGCTCGAAATCTCCGACTTGTTTGACATTGTCGGCGATAATTAAGCGAGCATTGTCAGAAGGGTGGCTGAGGAGGCAAAGGCTAGTAGTCCGCCGGATAACGTCTAATCCGAATAAAGCTGTTTCTTTTCTTCTAAAAGACCTTCTAGGCCCCTTCTCCGGCTTAAGTTTCCGGCGGCTGAGTTCGGCGGCGTGCCGATGAAGCTCTGTCGTATGTTGGAACTGTACTCGGGGTGCTTCTATGTAGGCAACTATGTCCGCCACTTCGACCTCGCCGCTACAATGATCTTACAATTTGGAACGTAATCATGAACGGTTCATATAATTCTTTATGGAATCAGTCTTCCTCTGAAAGTAAAGCACGTACATTGCCCAGAAAAGGCTCCAACTCTCGGCCCAAAATACTTCCACATTACACGGATCAAACCAAGGAGATGGCATTTCCATCCTACAAACCTCGTCGATCAGTCTTCTGAAACTATCGCCAAGTGACGGCTATGAACATTCCATTGCCGAGTCTCCTGAAGGGAGAGCAACGACATACTCCAAGCCAAGCTTCACAGCCTTGCCAGCATTGAGCTTCACTTGCCACTCCACTTGGCCTTGACGTCCCTTTAACGTCGCCGTCGACTGGCCCCAGTCGACATCCTGCTTACTTTCGCGAGCGGGCTGCCCGGTTGAGACCCCTGAACCGTCAACAATAAGCCCCTTGGGTGCCAAGATATCGACTTTGAGACGGTCGTCTTCCGACACGGGAACCTGGTCAAGCACAAGAAGCGAGACGGGTTTTCCCGCCGAAGCACGGGAGTTGGAAACGGTGATGCTGCGGCTGTACACAGAGCTGTTCTCCTTGGAGAAGAGCCCTGTCGTCGTTCGTCGGACATCAACCTTGGGGTAGTTGACCTTAATCGCCGGGTCGATGCCGAGACCCAGGGAAAAGACGTCGCCGGCGCTACAGCGCGGCAAGTGGGTGCGGCCCATGAAGGTACCGTCGAGAGTGAGACCTGCTTCGGCCCGGAGCAAAGTGAGGCGGCTGCTATTGCGGATTCGTGCTTTTAGGTACGCAACGGGTTTGTACTTTGCAATGATGGTATGACTGAAGGCAATATTGGAGAAGTTGAGGCGAGCGACACGCTGCTTGGATGCCGTAGGGCAAGGCGGCAGGGTTTTGGTGCCTGGAAGGTCGTAGGTCGTAGTGAATCCCGTCTCTTCGATAGTAGACTCTTGAAAATCGAGGTTCTCGTCTTCCTCGGACGCTTCGGATCCCATGGGCTCTTGAATTGACTCCTGGGGTCTCGATACATGAGCTGACCCACCAAGTTGTATTCGCTGCATCTGGGCCTGTTGCTGCATTTGTGGCATTTGCTGCATCTGCTGCATCTGTTGCACCTGCTGTTGTTGCACCTGCATCACATGCATCTGTTGTGCCTGCATTTGAGCCTGCAATTGCGCTTGTATCTGATCCTGGTGCTGTGCCTGTCCTTGCCCATGTGCTGGGTACATCATTCGTCGTTGCTTTGAATCTTGGTTAAGTACCATCAGGCCCTTCTGGTAGTCCGCCAGATTCGCGTTGCTGTTGCCGGCATTATTGTGGTCCACGCCGAACAAATCGTTGCGAGGTTTTTGGGGCTGTGCTTTGGTCTGTTGAGCACGCCACCATTCACTTCGTTGCTGGCGTTCCTCCCTGCTGGATAGGATGTCCGTCCCGTTCGTGTTGCCTTCTTTTGGTGCCAACTTGATGTTCCAAGGCTTCAGCGTGGGTATGGCGTTCTCTAGTCCGGCAAATGTGGCTTGAGAAGTCGAAAGGACAACTTTACAGTTGCTCCACGTCTCGGAAGTCTTGTTGGTGATGCGGGCATCGTAGCACAATATGCCCGTGTTGTTTGTGGTGAACAATTGCAAATCATAAGTCGGAGCCCAAGAGGCGGAAGAGGTCACATATGACAGTGATAAGTCGCACTTGATGTCTTTTCCCTCGTCGGTCTTCTCAGGAGCCGATGGCCAGGCCTGGGCTGTGTCACTCGACACCGATGTACGACGTGAGGATGACGGGGTGAAAGCCATCGCCTCGAGTGACACCCGAACAGAGTAACACAGCTTGGGCCAGAACCGCTCCCGCTCTGCCTGAACCCGAGCTTTCTCCTTCTGCAGCTTCGCTCTCTCCCTGGCATCCTTTTGTGCCTGCCTGTCCCGCTCTTTCCGGGCTTTCTTCATTGCACGAGTCGCGTCCGCTGCCTCTCTCTTTTGTCTCTTAACGAGCCGAGTCTCTTGCTTGAGAGCGATGCTGAGGCGCTTCATGTTGTCTTGTCCGCGGGTGACGCCGGCTACGTGGTCTTGGAAAATCCGTTCTCGCTCGGTCCGATAGGTTTCGATGCTGTCGGCGATGTTAATGCCTTCTTTGCTCTCAAGTGAAGCTCCGTGAGCATCAAGGATTTTGAGACGATTGGCTGCGCTTTCGACTACTTCTTTGGCGCTGCGCTCCTCGTCTCTCAGTTGCCTGATCCGGGCTCGCACTTTGTCGAGGGGCGAAGGTTCCTTCTCCTCGGATTCTTCTCCTTCTTCCTCGTCTTCTTCGTGAGGGACATCGGCATCCGAAATTTCGTCATCAGAGTCAGGGTAGACATCTTGGAAGCTCTCGCGGTTGGGAACAAGCTCAATGGCGATGTCGGTGATGATGGCTGAACCGGCCCCATCTACCTTGATTGTAGACTCATCAATCGTGGGTGTAAGGCCAAAGATGGTGATTTCGTTAGCGCCGGGCTAATTTCCAGTCAGTTGTGGGACGAGACACTGTAGGGGACTCAAGTGGTTATCACCTTCAGTTGTAGGTTGCGCAAGTCCCTCACGACTTGAGCACTGTTGGGATATAGTGTGACAGATCGAGTGGCCAAGTCTCGCACATGATACTCCTTGTTGTGAGCCATGTCTGACATTTCTGATGGTTCTCGTGGTCTCGCTGATATGAGTGTACTACAACTTGGTTACAGGGGGGGAATCAAAAAACCTGAAGTAGAAGAATTGGTGAGATCGAAAATTAAGGTGGAAAAAAACAGGAGAGGGGACTATATTAAGAAGCGATTGAGTTGAATCGATGCCAGTGAGCAAGACCAAATTTTGGAGGGCATTCGTGTGATACTTATAGTTTTGGTGGGAGGCGGAAACGAGGCAATGCAAACCAGCGACCAACAGAAGGGAGGGCGCATCCTGTTGCCTGATCAGCAAGACGAGTGCTGCGGAATTCCATCGTCTCCCCCGCTCAAACTTTCATCCGAGAACTAAGGAGCCGATAAGTGCCAGATATTTATTTTCTACGTTTGCATGGCCGTTTCGACCTGGATTGAAGTCTGCAAGTCTTGGACCCTTTGTTGCCTTTGATTGTGGTAGTCCCTCTCAGTTGACGGAATGTCCTCAGGGAAGAAATGAGTCGCTGCACAAGATGTTCACGGTGCATTAAATACGGTAGAAACAGGCTTCCACATTAGAAACTAGGATGGCGACTGGTCAGTATATCCTAGTGATACATTCATTTGGACCTTCTTTTTCATGATAAACATTCTTTGCCCAGTTTATGGGCGTTCTTTGGGCACTTGCTTCGGGTGTAGCATCTCTGGGTCAAGTATTAAGCTCGCCAATTAGCGCCTTCGTTTACTTGTGCGCACCAGCATAAAGTCTTCGTCGCTTCATCTCTGCAAATACGTCTAGGCTGAGTGAAACAACATGGAGATAAGACGGATTATTTATCAAAGTGCCGACGGTTTAAAAAATTCAACTGCCATCCAAATATGAGGATGACAGAAAACAGATTAGCACACAGATTGTGGCGAAATGCCGGGTGTTGCTTTGCGACACTATAATTGCTTTCGTGTTTAAATGATAGCCTAGTAGTAACAGCTTGCGCAGACATAAACCTTAGTTCATAAGCCTGCGACACAGCGCAGGATCCCTTTCTCATTATTGGCCTACTAATGTAAGTCGTGACGACTAGATAAGTCTAAGTCTTCTCTTTTTCTTTTCCAACCTGGACAAATCACAACCAGCGAGACCGTACTCAAGGCCATCAAGCAGATCCACCCAGGATATTTATCATTTGAACTCCATTCCACTCCAGAAAAGTTACGCGACGACGCTCTAGAGAAGCATCGCCATCCCAGCCACAAGACTAACAGCCACCGCCATGGCAGCAGCACACCCAGCCCCTACTCTACCAGCATCAGCCATGACGTTTCCGCTGGACGTCAAAAACGGCTTCTCTGCGACGACGCGAATATTATCGACGAGTCGATCTTTATCAGGCGTATACGTCGATTCCATAAAGTTGCACTCCTTCATGATGAAGTCCAGGTCTGTCCCCCGTTAGTCCGCGTTTCAAACCCAGCCAAACCCCTCTCTGAATGGTAAGGACCAGTAGAAGAATGTTGCACTCACTGTTTGCCCGGTTTCCAGTCTTCCGGATACAACTCTGGCACAACCCAGCCAGCAACTGCACGTCGAAGCTCTTATTTGAACAAGTACACTGCTTCTCAGCTTCTTCACGGTCGTTGGGCGATTTGTTATCCGGCTGCTTCTCCGGTCCCGGTCCCATGATGGGTATCGCGGCCGGATTGCTCATAGACGCCTGAGGAGGCTGAAGCTGTTGTGGCGGTGTCGGCTGGAGCATCGGGGGCGTGGTCTCCTGAGACGATGAAAGAGCGGGTTGCTGTTGTGGTGGTGGACGCTGAGGTTGCTGCTGTGGAGGCGGTTGCTGGGCTGGAGGTTGCTGAGGTGTGGGCCTTGATGTTGATGATGGTGGAAGTGGTGGTGGTGGTTGTTGAGGTCGAGGGGCTGTGATCACCGGGGGCGGCTGGACCGGAGGCGGGGCTTGAATTGGGGCCGGAGCTTGTACCGGAGGTGGGGCCTGGACGGGTGGGGGAGCCTGTACCGGGGGAGGCGGCGGCGGCGCCACCGGAGTGGGCATCGGCGGCGCCGACACAGTCAGGAACACAGTCGATGTGATCAAGACAGGCACAGGCGGCGGTATCTGAGGCGGAGGATCTATCGATGGCGTCGCCTGTGGCGGAGGAGGAGGCGGCGCCGAGGGTGTAGGTGTGTTCTGGGCATCCGGCGTATTCGTGCTCAGCGGAATCTCTGGTGCGGGGGCAGAAAAGGGTAGCGTGGCAATGAAGCCTGGTGTAGCATCTACTGCCGGCTGCTGCGCGTCCTGGGCGGGTTGCTGCGCATCTTGAGGAGGCTGTTGTGCAACGTTCGTGGCTTGAGGCTCGTCTAAGCCGGGCGTCGATACCTCGACCGCATCATTCTGGTTCGGTCTGCGGTGGTGGTGGCGGCGAACGACTCCGTGTGCGCCTGCTGGGGATGGTCTTTTCGCGTGCCGTCTCTCTGGCGGCGGTCTGTGTTGCGGTGCGTCGACTTTCCTCCTCTTTAGTCTCTTGAGCTCGTCGAAAGTGTTATCGACGTCGCATTTGAAGGTAAGTTCGACGATAGGCCCGCATATTATTGCACATTCGACGGGGACGTCGTCGACCTGGACTTCTCTGGCGCTCGCTAGCACCGCGAGTCCCGAAAAGAACAAAACTGATGCCTCTGTTCCCCTCATCCTGTCAGATCCTGGAAATTCTGGGCGAAGCACGAAATCAAAACCGTTGAGGTCGGTAATTAGGTATCGTAGGACGCGTAGGAGAATCAACTCCTTACGCTCGCTGGTCGCAAAATTATGGGAAAGTCACAATACAAGCACACGCAAATCAGTAGAAAGAAGATCATCCGCACATCATCCAAAGGAGAGAGAGGTACTCCAAGCCCCAACACCTATATCAGACAGTCACATCTCTCCCTCCACGCAGTCCCTCACACACCAAATTCTCAGACTCAGGACGCAGCCGCTTCCCGCACACAGCAGACATGGATGAAACGGCAGCTCAAGCTTCAGAAGGGAAAAGGGAAAAAGGTTGGACGGAAGGAAAACCAAACATCCCAGTGCTTACTACCCCGGACCTGACGACATTGGCCACCCGGCGCGCGCCGGTAAGCCTATCAAGCTTCAACACGGCGCAGAATACTCTAAAAGAAAGTTGTGGCCAGGGAGGGGGGGCAAGATGAGGCACAAGGGGCACAAGGGGTAGTGTGCGTGTGAAAATGTGAGCTGGTGAGGAACTCAAGACGGCTTCATACCGAAACTGGCAAAATCTGGGTTCGAACGACTCGTCTTACATGTCTCGGAAACAAAACCATCGCATGGGGGGAGGTTGGGAGGAGGGGAACAAGGGGAGGCACAAACCCTACTCAGATCCTTCCTCTCCCTCTCCATGGATCTTCACTACCCCAACTGCCCAAGTACTGGACTCCTGACTGAGACTCGAGACTCGTGCGCGCCCAGTGGAAAGAGTGCAACGTGAAACGCGAACAGACCGCGCCGACTCGCCAATCGCAATGCATCACGATGGCCGCGGACATGGTCCATCCCCCCAATGCCTCCCAGGAAATGGGGACACTGGCGATCAGAAACAGCCCACTGTGGTGGAATAAGGAGAGTCAGTCGATGCACGTAGCAGGTGGTATCTGAGGCTCTGCGTTGATGACGAGCTTATTGATGTTTATTTTACTAGCGCCCCGCGAGGTTTTGAAACAGTCCTCGTTAGCCAGCACTAATGGCTTTGACTATCATACATAGGAACGAATTCGAAGTGACTCCTGGCTGGCGAGATAAAAACAGCCAGTAGAGAAATGGAAACATGGAAGTAGTTAAAATGCCATGCAACGCAGCTCATGTTGGAATTCTGAGGTCTAGAACCTGCAATTCCCCTCCTGTACAATCCTCAGACGAACTCGCGAGCCGGATGTGAGGAGTTCCTTTTGGATGGTGAGAAAGAAATATCTCAAGTTTTCAACTTGAAACGGCGACTCAAGCATCGGACGAAAAGAAGAGCACACGCATCATATGTGCATTGAGGTAAGCAAAGGAAGCTTCTGGGACGCATCTGCTCGTGCTTGCGGGCTTGATTCCGTTCATGTCGGCACTGGTTCTGCCCTTTTCATTTTGACTCGGTTCCTAATTTGCCATAGCTAACTTAGATGATGGGTCCATGAATGGTGGTGGCTGGTTGTTGAGACTCTTGTAAATTGGGCTCATCGATTCTCACGATAACTTCTGTTGACGGTGGCTTTCTTTACACCACTCATTCATCTTGTAGCATATTAGGTAAGATATAGTCTATACTTCTTCTACCGTTTCTCTAAGATGAGGAAGGCTCAACTCCTCCCCCGTCTCCCAACACTCTCTACTCGAACCCCCAGCTTGGCCATCTCATCAGCATCAATCACCCCCCTCCCATCAAACACCCACCTCGGAGCCTGCATATCTCCCGCCACACTCTCCCAATCAACCCTCTCCTTGACCGTCTTCCCCGCTTCCACTCCCGGGCCGTTAGTAGCAAACCCCGAGACCTTGCAATCCTCCTCCTCCGCCCGACAATCCGGGCAATCTCCCGCACAAGCAGGCTCAGCAAAGTATCGCCCAAGCGGATCATCCAAAGTCGCCGCGCCCATCCCCCCCTTATCCAGCGCTAGTCTCACATCCGGCTGCCGAAGCTCTTGGCCCACCGCCTCCGCCGCCCGCGATGTCGTGCTTCCGTGGGGAGAAGCAGAAGAAGAAGCCGCAGAACCCGGCGTATCCCTGACGCCGAGCTCACCCGTGTTCCGAAACTCGTCAAACTCGGTTGTGATGAGGACCGCGTTACTACCACGACAAGCGTCGTACGCGTTCCCGTACACGACCAAGGGTCCAGCATCACCGCCGTCTTGCCCCGATGTCATCGTCTGCGACCCGCAGAGCTGCCGGATCTCCGCTTGAATGACCAGAGGATTACAGCACGGATCAAACACAGCAATCTCCCTAGGTCCCTCCTCCAACAATGCCCGAATAATCTCCAGCGCAGGTGACTCTCTCGTATCCGACGTATCCTTCTTGAAAGCGTACCCAAGCACCGTAATCTTCTTCCCAGCCAGGGTATTGTTCAAACACTTGACCACGCGCCTCGTGAACCTCTCGCGGGCGTACTCGTTCATCTTGACCACCTGGCGCCAATACTCCCCGACCTCGTCGAGATCAAGTGACTCGGCAAGGTACACCAGACTCAAGATATCCTTCTTGAAACAACTACCCCCGAATCCGATGCCCGCTTTCAGGAATCTATCCCCGATGCGCGGGTCCCGGCCGATGGAGGCAGCAACTTCATCCACGTCTGCGCCCGTCCGCTCGCAGATTGCGCTGATGGAGTTTATACTGCTTATCCGCTGCGCGAGCATCGCGTTGGCGACTAGCTTCGCGAGCTCAGAGGACCAGACGTTTGTCGTTAGGATGCGTGCGCGGGGGACCCAGGCGGCGTATACCCTCGCCAGCGCCTCGGCTGCGCGATGGCCCGAGGGCGTCGTGTTTGCGCCGATGAGGACGCGGTCTGGGTGCAGGAGGTCATTTACGGCTGTCCCGGCCGCGAGGAACTCTGGGTTGGAGAGGATTTCAAAGTGTACGCCTGGTCGGTGGGCGGCGAGCTGCGGGAGATGCCCAGTTAGCTAACCTTCTTGACGTACTTTGGGAGCTTATTTGTGGGTAGTCTGGACTCACTGTTTCTCGCACAAGCTCTGCGGTCCGGCATGGGACGGTAGACTTTTCTACAATGATAGCCCCCGGTCTCGCGTGCCTGGCCACCTCGGCGGTGACGGCCTCAAATGCCGCCATGTCCGTTGCGCTGCCGGCGCCGTGACCCCGCGTTTTTGTCGGAGTGTTGACTGCGATGAGGACCACGTCCGCTTCTGAGATGCATCTTGAGACATCTGTGGAGAAGATGAGGTTCGGCTGCCTGGGCGGGACTGAGATGTTGCTGCTCTCGCCACATTGACTTCCGCACTCAGAGGTGACTGATGATGATGGTGAGAAAGTCTCGCAGCGGTCCAATCTGGCGGGATCGCTGGGAATTGGTGCTGAACATCCCTTGGTGCCGTCCCTCGCAACTCGGACAATGTCTCGCAGGCCAGGCTCGTAGATGGGGGGATGCTTTGAGTTCCATCTCCTGATCCGGCGCTCATCTCTATCTACGATCGTGACGCGGATGTGAGGGTTCTTGAAGGCGATGACCGACGCCGTGGGCCCTCCTAATTCGAAAAGTCAGCTCTCCGCATCTCAGTAAACTTGTACCTCTCCAAAGTGCAACTTACCCACATAGCCAGCCCCTACACAGCAGATGTTGCGAACCGTATTTCTGTCACCGTTGCCAGTAAATCTCACCTCCTCGGCCTTCGTATCGAGCTGAGGAAAGACATCCTCGCCCGCGTCGTCAGCGTCAATCACCAGCCGACTCGCCGCTCTGACGACAGGGCTGAAAGTGCAGCTCCCCTCAGGCGTCGTAGGAACTGTAGACGCTCTCTCATATACATCCTCATCCCCAAGGACAACATTGATATCGTAAACATCCGCCATTGTCGCGCCCGTGATCAAGCACCTCAAGACCTTGGGTTCAGCTCTCTATCTCCCAGATTTTCCAGAATGCGACGTGTATATACCACTAAGCGCTTCAATCCAAAAAAGCGCAATACCCAAACCGGCCCTCGCTATCCACTAGCAAGCTGGTGATTTCGTCCGATGGTAAAAAAGGGCGTTCGTTTCACTATCGTCAATTAGGCAAGGTCCCCCAAACGGTGGCGGCCGTGCGGGAACGAACCGGTCTGGCTGTAGATCTGACGTGGCTTTTCAAGGCGTCGGCCGTTCGAATTTAGCAACCGCCCGTCTGATGATCAAGCTTCTTGCTGTACCAAGAAACGCGTGCCGGGCGACGAGCGATGAGCCTTCATCAGCTTCAAGAGCTTGACGCGCGTCAGTTCCGGACAATGGTGTATGAGGAGACGCGGCGCGGCGGTCAATCTGCCGTTTTCCGAGATTGGGTGCGATTGTGTAAGTTGGGGGGGAGATGGAGGTTATAGCTAGACGTGGGATGGATCGTATGTAGATTCGAGGTATAATATGGCATAAAGAGGTTCAGGGCAAAGAGTTCATGCGACGTCTGAACATGAGGAATGGCAGCGTCGATAAGACCCTTGTAGTGTCGGGTGGACAAAAATGCTGGCTCGTACTTTGATCCCGATAGCGGCCGAGCGTATAGCAAGTCACCAATGACTAAACGGCTACAAGTTGACACCGGCACGGCTTATCGTCGAGTATTGACGCAGGTGGCCATGAGATCTCCATCACGAACATCACGATGCCCCTCCCCGGCTGCGATGACCCCTCCAACTGATAGCACTTCGTCAAGGCATGGGTGATGGCAAACAGCGAATTGCATCCTCGCAAAGATCCAATCATGCTTGAGGCAGACCACGATTCGTCAGGCTTGGAGAGGGTAGCCGGTAAATCTACACCAGAATGTGTAAATCGTGGAAAAGAGGTCGTCGATAACCCTCACCCAACCGGAGGAGCCACGGGCATCTGGATACAGCCCGCGATTCGCTTTTTGGATGACATTTTGCCATGTGTATGAATCAGGAACTTGTCATGTGGTCAATCGTCGGCCGACAATTAGAAAATGTGACCTTTTGATCGTGTTTGTGACTTAGGAAAATTGGCACAGTTTCGCTGATTGGTTCTCATCCACCGAAGCGGAAATGTGCCGCGTTCAAGGCTTCTGATTGGCTGTTGACCTGATGTCTTGAGATTGTGATTTCTGTACCACCTCAGCTTTGTACGAAAACAGATATGCCAAAAGAAAAAAAGGACGAGAAGGTTGAATGCTTGGCGTGGGGATTCTCTGGAACCATGTAAGCTTGACGGGATGTGTAAGCTTGCTTGATCCCGTCGTTGACCGTCATCGAGGACTCTATATCAACGTTTGTTCCTCAACTATGCGGCTTCAGATGTCGATGTTAGCCTTGCGACATACAGCAAGGACCGGACTTTCATGGTCATTAAGAGAACAAAAAGATAAATTACCAAACATCTGATAGCTTTAGGGAAATGCTGGTTACTTCATAGTTCCCATGATACAGTCTCACCAGTCTCAGCCACAGAGCACCATCATCAAAGAAGAATCATTCGGGAACAATTCGACGCGCAGCCGGAGTCGGGTTCTGGACCCTGCAGCGATGCACCCGACAGTCTTTAATGAGTTGCCCCGCCCCCACCACGTTTGCGGTCGGCCAGAGAAGCTTGCCATGTGGTCCATCGCGACACACCGACAGGCTCTTTCATTCGAGTCTCTTCTGCCCCTCCCCCGCCACACATCATTTCAGGTACCTGCGTGATAGTGCGCTTAGCATAATGAGACATGTAGGCCGCTTGACCTGTACGCTTCTTCTCCAGTCCGAACATCGCAGCTATGCGTGAGGTAGATATCAGAAGGCCAAGTGCCGCCTATGGCGCAGTTCCCTCCCGCTCGGCGAACGCCATCATCTTCCTTACACTGCACCCAAGACCTGCGGTCCATCAACACCCCAACGATTAGTGACAGCCCACATTTACCGTCTCTGCAATACGTTTGAGTGATTCTTCGGTAAGACGCAGAAGCTCCGATGAGAGTGTAAACCCAGCCTACATGGCAACTGGCTAAGGCATCGCAGACACCGGCAATGGCAGAACCTCTTCTACCAAAGAGCTACGGCACCATGCCACGGTACCCAGCTCACGACAACTCCATATTCCCATCTTCATTACGAGGGAAGCGCATCCTGCTCTGCACAGAGTCCTTTGGACCCGTCAACGGCGTCAGCCGGACGACATTGATGCTCGTCGAACACCTGCGATCCCACGGCGCGCTCGTCGCCGTCGTGGCGCCTCACAACCACACTCAGCACAACACTTTTTCTCCCGCAACAGAGGATGACAGCCAGGTCGAAGTGCGCCTTCAGGGATACCCGTTGCCCTTCAACCCTGAGCTCTCTGTCGTCTACCCCGTGCGGGTATCGGCCCTCTTCGCGAGAACCTTTGGGTCGGACAGCCCGCCTGACCTGATCTACCTGGCCTCGCCAGCATCGCTGGGCTTCCAGGTGATGCTGCAGCTCCAACAACAGCCAAAAGAGAGACGAGTGCCGGTGATATGCAACTTTCAGACCGACCTGGCCGGATACTGCGCCATCCTCTTCCCTCACCCGTTCAGCACCATGGCGGTCTTCGCTTTCGCCATGGTCCAGAGCTTTCTGTTCCAACACGAATCGGTCAAGACCATTTTCTACCCCTCACGCTTCGTGCGCAAGTATCTCGAGGCCCAAGGGGTTCAGGGCTCCAAGCTCGAGGTACTCCGACGAGGTGTCAAGACGGAGCTGTTCCGGCCGGAGATGCGCAGCGAGGCGTTGAGGAAGCAGGTTGCGCCGAACGGAGAGGTCATTCTCATATGTGTATCCAGGGTAGCGGGTGAGAAGGGGTTCGATTTCCTCGCCAAGGCAGTAAAGGAACTCGATGCAAGAGGTCTTCATTTCAGGCTCTATGTCGTGGGAGGGAACCGTAATGCAGAAGTCGAAAGAGAGGTTCACGAGATGTTTGACCCTCTGAGGGAGCAAGGCAAAGTCATATTCGCCGGGTTCAAGACCGGAGACGACCTGGCGACGGCGTACGCATCGGGCGACATTTTCCTTCACTGCTCCGTTACGGAAACCTTTGGCTTGGTCGTCCTGGAGTCCATGGCAAGCGGTGTTCCGGTGGTCGCTCGCGATGAGGGCGGGCCAAGCGATATCATCGATGATGGCGGCTCGGGATACCTTGTACCGCCCAACGACCTGGACACATTTGTCGACAAGGTCATGTACCTCTCCAAAGACAGAGACTGTCGGGAGGCAATGGCCGCGCAGGCTCGAGCGATGGCGTGTGAGGCTACTTGGGAAAAGATCAACAACCAAGTCGCCTGGAGGATGATTGACACCATTGAAGAACGAGAGCGAGAAAAGGCCCAGATTACACATCAGCGTTCGTCCATCGCCATGCAAGCTAGCCAGCTTGTACCAGTGTACAGCTGGTTGCTCATGAACAACGCCATGCGTGACGTTGTGGTGGGCAGAATAGTAGATGCCAAGCTCGTTGGCGGATTCGGCGTCGTCATGACTTTCTGGTTCTTTACGGGGATGTATCTGGCGTTTACTGAGGCGGCCCTATGGGCCAAGGGCAAGTTGCCACGGTATTGGGGCCAGCGAGTGACGGAATGATGGCGCGAAGTGGTTGGTTTGACTTTCATTCAAGGGCGCCGATACGATACTCCCAGACGCGAGACAGGTTCATTGGTGTTTTGTGGCTTGGTATTGGCGTTTGGCGATGTCTTGGTAATTTGGTAGTATTTGCGATGGGGGCACTACCAGCGATTAACTCCTTAGTCGTCATTGACGATGTTTGAACTGTAAGCCTTATCGTGTCAATCCAGTAATGGACCGTTGATTTTGAGATGAACCGGTAATGCTTGCCGCGGTAGCCGAGTATTTCACCGCGGCCGCGTCATTAAAGGCCCGTGAGGCACCGGGTTGATGAGTCTATCGCCGGTGGTCCGTAGAGTAATCCCATCGATACCAAAGAGATGGCCCTTGTTCTCAATGCCGTTCTCACCTTATTACAACGACTATGGGCTATCGTCAAGGGGCCCGGAAGGTGGGCGGGCGCGATAAGCCGTGCCTGGGCTAGCTGGGTCCCGAAACCGGTCGCACCAGGAGCGACCAGGAGATGGAGGAGGCGTTTCGGGCTTCGGCCACGCTGTGGTTCTCGCGGTCGGATGGAACGTCGTTGCTTTTCCTCGGCAGCTCAGAACCGAATCTTGAAGTGACCCGGCCTGTACTCCGTGCTGTAATAGCCTGTAGGCATTCGTAGGTAATGGTGCGGGTATGCGTAGTGTGTGGTCGGGGCTTAATGTAGAGATGTTGACAGATCGCGGGGATGTTTCTGATAGAGGCGACGATCAATCTTATTCAACTATTGACATCTGTTGCCCTCCCACAGGCTGACCGCACCAGAACTCCATATCCTCAAATTGAGGGCAAGCCAGCCTCTCCCGGTAGATGGGCCATTGGGCAGGGCATTGTGCCAATAGGGTACGCCTCAGGGGCGATCAATTTGATTAGCAATGGTAGGCCAGGGTTCAGACGAGAGGGAAGAAGCCAAGCTTTTTGGTGACAGGAGGTTAAAAACCTGCAGGGGGGGCAGCGACAAGAGGATGAAACGTTGTTGTGAGGAGGATGAGGGTCGATGGAGGAAGACCAAACTTGCGAGATGTGGCTGGAGTCAGCCACTTCTCCTATTGTGGCTTGCGGCTGATGAATAATGTGGCATGTGCACCTTCGCTGGCTGTGGTACAGTAGGTACCTTTTTCGAGCCCCAAAGAGCTGCCCAGTTCGAGAATACCAAATTTCCTCCCCAATGTCATTACCATTCATTTCAACGAACTGGTGGTGAGAACAAGCTGGAACATGGGCGTCGAGCGTATGCCGCTTAGCCGTGCTGCCCATTCCCCATTTCCT